ATTCCTGTGGTCCAGCTGGTCAATTAGCTGGTCAATTCTTCAGCTGAAGGTTTCCTCAGTTTGTGTTGAATTTTACCGCTTGTCTGGATTCTGTTTCCTAGGCCATAGTGAAGGAAGGGGTTAACTGGGGTTTTCTGCTTGCTTACTGTCTTGAATTCATAGAGCCAACTGACAGACTGGAACAGCTTGAGAGATATTTCTGGCTCTTCAGGTTATTTCTGATACTGGTGTGTTGTGCTCAATTGGACAAAATAGTCTGATGCTGATTCCTTTAGACAAGGCTTACATTCAGTCTGTTCTTATCCCTAACCTTTCCATTCTTTCATGAGCTCTCATACTTCAGTCTTTTCAGATAAATAATTTTACTGGAAAACTGTTAAGGATTATAGTGCTGTTTTGTCATCTCTTTTTAATGGGACTGGGAACAATAGAAGTTGTTACTTAAGAAGTTCCCTTGTTTGCCCTCAGTACCTGAGGCTCTCAGAGCTCTCACCTGGGAGCACATCCCATGCAAAGAGGTGTACTTGCCACATTTGTGCAAATTGTGATAATCTCACACTTCATTTTCCACTTCAATTTCATTTTGTTATTTTCCATTTGTATTTCCAAAGATCTCTTTCTTATAGCATCTCTCTCCAGTTTAGCAGCAGCTGCATATCTTATTAAAGCATTTTCTACTTCTTACACCTCATTAATGAATGTTGCATAAGGCAGGGCTGGACTGCAGTAATGTGCTTTGTCACACAGCATTAGCTGTCTCACTTAGATAATGCCTTGTCCTTTTGCAATTTGCCCCGAGTCTATTTATTTCATGGAGCTCCAGCCCCAACAATTATGGAGCATTTGTGGAAGATTTTGTTAGGCGGCATTGAGTAAATCAGTGGCTATTCAGACCTCAACTGTATCAATCATTAGACATTGAACATGACTTACATCTCTTTTGAAAGAACTTCCCTGTCTTAGAGTAGGTAACAATTTCTCTGCTCTGTCAGTGCTTAATGTTTCTGCTGCAGCTGCCAATAAGGGTTCCCACCATGCAATGAATATTTAAAAACCTGGGCTTCATCCATACGTATCTGGATTGAGACCAGGGAGCGAATACCAAACAGTTTGTTTTTACAGCTCTCAATTATTACTCACTGAGTATGTAATGAAAAGAGCAACTTGAAAGTGAAGGTCCTAAATTCCTTTGCCATCTCCTGCAGCCATACAGTCCCCAAGACACACTTTTATACATATTTACTTTCTCCAGTGCTGATAATCCTAACTTTTCCCTAGATCCTCTTAAAGTCATAGAATTTAGGACTCACGTGTTGGATAATGAACTTTCAACTCTGTCTTAAATGATGTAATGCTGTTAATAACTGCTTTTGAAAGAGACTGAAGTGAATATTCCTCATCTCAAATGTGAGTGACTTAAAGGATCACACAATGGAAAAATAAATGCAGCTTCATAGCCATAATTACTTTAGCTGACATGTTTAGCTGAGCAGCAATAAAACATATATCATCTTAATGTGTATCGTTGTTAATCTTGCCAATGATTTATAACATGACAGCCAAAATTACTTCATCAGGTTGGACATAATGAAGTCAGTGAAAAGCAGCTAAGCTTGGTAGTTGTGCTAGACCCTGCTTAATACATGCATATTATTGCCATATATTTAAGTGCTAAGAGACAAAATGAATTTTCTTATTTTTAGTTGTGATTGCTCCTGCTGTGAATATGTTCGAATAAAATGAATTTCAGTTATTTCATAGTAGTAAAAACACAGTGTTTTGCTTTATTTTATTTCACATAATCATTTGAGTTGGAAGGAACCTTTAAAGGGCATCTGGTCCAACTCTCCTTCAATGAACAGGGGCATCTACAGCTAAATTGGGTTGCTCTGAGCCCCATCCAGCCTGGCCTTGAGTGTCACCAGGATAGGGTATCCACCACATCTTTGCACAGAAAGAGATTTGCAGAGATATATTGGAATTTGGTGACATTTTACATTAAGAAATGCTTCTAGCCCTGAAATCTTCAGCAAAGGAGAATCTTATTGTTTGTTTATATTATTTTGTAGTTTTGTTGTTTCCTTTTATAGCATTTCTGAAAGGGCATTCTTGTTTAGTTGTTTTTTTTTTGTTATTTTTTTCTGATCTAATGCAAGCATAGAGGTGATAGGAAGTGGGGATCTTTGTAATAAAAGAAAAATCAAATTGCACAGTTGTCTACCTCAGATAGAATTACCTCAGAAGATAATAATCATTATTTTGATCAGATGGACAGGTTTTTTATACTTATCAGGATGCCTTCAAATACTTCACAGTAAAACCAGATGGTTATATTTCATCTGTTAACAATATTGTTTTTTTTGTTTGGCCTTTGTATCTGTTCTGTTAGCAGTGCAAGACAGACTTGTCAGCTCACTAATTTTTTAAGCATTCCACAGTGGAAATCAGATGAGTAGCTTCATTTAAATCTAACTAAAATTTAGAGGGAAATACAATCCATCTGTCTTTATTATTATTGTTCTTTGTTGCTGCTGCTTGACATTCCTTAAGAATTTAGAGCGGTGTCTTACTCAAAGATTTCCAACAGGACATGGTTTGCTTCTCAGTCACGGGCACACAGCCACTTAAGGTCAATAACACTTCTCTTCTGTATGCCAATGAATTCAGGGAAATAAATCACTTCAAAACAAAAGCCTGATTTGATAGCTCCTGTTCCATCTCCTCTTAGTTTTTGCTCATCACTGAGTTGTAAAGGATGTGCTTTTACACAAACTTAATTTTTATGAGAAGTTGTGATTTATGGTTGCTCTTTCTGTGCTATCAGGTGAGCACAGGTGCATCTTGGTGTTAGTTACACAGGCCACTGCTTTGCTATGGTAGATAGGTTAAATGATTTGCCTGTAGTATGATGAATGGTATAACAGAAAATGGAATTGGCTAAATTGTGTACGTCAGCTGGGAAATTGAGATGGAATTGTAAATCTGTAGAAGCATTTGGTTGTACAATACTGAGAAAAAGGAAATCCTGTGCATGTCCAGCCAGCTTTAACCTATGTTTCTTTGGAAGTAAGTGGATTTTAAAAGCTCAGTTGGAGGATCCTGGATTAATCATGGAATCATAAAGGTTGGAAAAGTACTAAGATCACCTAGTCCAACCGCCAATAAGAGGTCTTAAATACTTTTCATTGGAAGACTTTAGTTGGCTTCTTCTACATCTGCCTAATCAAATGAGGCCTTACAGTACATTCTGTTCAATTATTTATAGGCTTACAAAGCATTTGAAGACATCAGATAATGAATGCTTTGCGTCCTTATGTGGGTGTTGGCAGGGAGGGCTGAAGATGGTCAGCACCTTGGAAAATCCGATCTATTTAGAGCCAGCTGAAGGTGACCTGTTTTATAGAAGGTGTGTAAGTACATTAAAGACTGCAGCATGAGGATTTTTAGTGGTCTGTGGGGATGCATAGACTTCTAGGATATAGTACAGAGGCACTGTCTATGCAGAAGAACTGAAGTAGCCTTATGCATGGTGCCACTGGCTGCATTTTTTGGAGTGATCCCTCCTCCTAACTTTGCTCAGTTACTTGGAGCAGTCCCAAAGTTCCAGTGAATGAGTTAAAAATTACTCAGTATGGTCACTGAGGGTCCAAGGTGAAATTTTGTTTTCAGCCGTTAGACTATTTATTGAAGCAGAAATTTTCCATGGAGTGCAGTCCAGCCAGGCCTGTCATGCTGTCTTGCAATGATACATTAATTCCTGCTCCCTAAATTGAACATAATCTAAGTTGCTTCTGTGATCTCAGAATAATTGCAGATGAAAACTTTTCAAATATGAAGAAGAGACGTCATTTTTTGAGGCAGATTTCCTGCTTTAACTATAAAACTGTCAGAATTACAGAGTCACCATCAGCAGCTGCATAATAATAAATAAATGTTAAGAAACTAATTGCAGATCATTCTGAACAAGGCAGTGACCATCTCTAAGCTCTGGACATGAAGTACAACCATTGGCTGCCACTACTTAATATATTGTTCATTTAGACGGTTTAAAGAAGCAAATTCCTTAATACTACCTCCTGTCATAAGATACTGAATTCTGAAGTGTATAAAAATATAACAGTCCTGAATATTGCCACTGTGTTGAATATTATCCAGAAGCTAGTAGTTGCCTCTGTCCTAATGATTTTTAAATGGTTTAAATGTCTTAAAGACAAAATCTGAGTTTAAATTGTGCTTTTGGAAACCTCTGTGCCTTGTAATCTGCTTTAAAAAGCTAACAGTATTTACAGAGTGTTTGACAGAATAAGAATTCAGCAGCATCTATGGTAAAAAATAATGGAAAGTGATTTCAGAATAATGACGCTACAGCTTTTCTTAAAAAGTATATAAAATATCAAAAGATTCTACATTTTTAATTTTTTTTCCTTATTCACTCTTACTATAAGAAGAAAATTAAAATAGTTGAAAATGTACACCTGCTGCCTACAGGGTCTGCTGTGCTCCATTCTGGCATGGTCTTTGCTGTTACTGCAGCACAAAGCAAGGAAGGAATACGCTCAGTATATAAATCAGATTGCTCTCTTTGGTATTGTTTACAATGATTGTTAATTAGTTTCCTAGCATAGTACCTAATTTGTGGTCAAAATAAGATGTACAACAGATGGAGAGAAAATTAATTCTGAAGTAGTAATCTATCCATATATATAATTATTCCTTGTAACTGTAATGGTGGTGGTTTTGGCTGTTGGAACTTCAGCAATGCATAGATCAAGTGGATGACATTTCTTAAGCATTATTCAGGGTTTTATTGGGTAAGCTGTAAAGAATTGAAATATGATTGCTTTTTGACTGGCTTCTTCTTGTGATCCATGTACTTTAATGTGATATCCTGATTAATGGTTTTCTGTTTGCAGACTTTGGGTTCACATGTTCACATGTAATATATTTTGCCATTTCCATTACAAATCCTGCTTTTCATAAATTTATAAACTTCCTTTTAGATTTTGGTGCATAAATGTCTTGATAGAGAAGAAAATGAAGAAATAAAGGGGAAAAAATGAGGTAAATCAATCAGGTTTGAAATGTTTAGAGGTTTTGTGGTTTTATTGCTTTCTGTTGTGTGCTTTTTTTTGTTTTTTGTTTTTTGTTTTCCCCCTGGAACTTCTATAGGAGGTTACTATCCCTTATAGAAAACATTGAAAAAATGTTAATTGTTTTATTGTTAGAAATTCTATACCTATACTCACTGTTTTAATTCCAATGGATGTTTTCACGTGGAAGAAAAAAAATATTCTTACATTCTATTTTGGTAAAAATCAATTTATTTGTGTCATTTCTCCTTCCCTTAAATTACAACTGTTTGTCATTTCACACCCTTTGGAAATAATCATGATGGTACACAGAGTCAATTCAGGAAACAAATTCCTAATCTTGAGTACGTAACTTGTCAGTGGTGGATTGTCAGTAGGATTCTCCATGTGCCTGAACTCAGAGTTCTGCTTTTTAGTCTTCTTCAGCTGCTCCAAAGCTACTTTGAATTTACTTCACTAATGACTACTGCTATTACAGATATGTTTTTGAAGCATAAGAAGATTGGAGCCAGACTACTTTCATACACCTGTCTAGTCTAGGAGGTAACATCAAGCACAACATGAAGGTCAATTATTTAAAAAGTTTAAAGAGAACCTATGCCAATTTTATATTTTGTGTGCCTAATCTATGTGGCTCACCTAATCTATATAGTATCTTTCCTTTGTGTAGGGCATAAGTCAAAATCCATTTGTGACAAGGAAAAAATATATTACTAAGTTATACACAGGTGCTGTCCCAGAGTAAATGTCTGTGTGGAGCAGCAGAGAATTTGTAGGAATGCGTGCCCATATGCAGGAAAATATATATACATGTAGAATTTGTACAACTTTAAAAGTTCTCTATAATTCGGATTAAAAAAAAAAAAAATTCTGTCTGGTACAGGCTTTGATGTTGAATGTAGGTACTGTAATTCATACTGGTTATCTCATTTTCATTTTCAAAAACAGCTTCATTCCAGCATCAGGTTTATAGTGTGTTACATGACATTGATTTAAGCTGTTGGCTCTTTAAATAAAACACTTTAAAAACCACTGCACAAATGCTAATAAGGCAATATAAAGGTGGTAAATATTAATTATATATGCAAATAAAGTAAGTAATTGCTGGCAGACAGGGCCCTCATTTATCAGACACTGGGGTCTGAGATGGCCTGAAACAGCAGGAGGTGAAAGAAAGGAAGAGCTAAAAATCAAAGTTGTGGTCTCACAGCTGCCCAAATCTTTGGTCTATCAATACTGGTTTCCTTTACTTCACTTTTGTTCTTTACCAACTGTGTAAATGAAAGTCTACAGAACATGTCATCATTTTTCCTTGTCATCAACTTCTCTGTAACATTTGCTCCTTTAATCCAGAGGGCTCCTTCCATCCATTGTAATAGAAGATCACAACTTTGGCCCATGAGAACTAAAGTTTTAGCTGAAGATGACAAACTGATGTCACCTCACAAAGGTACCATATTGCTCATTAAAAATGTTTGAATCTCTTACCATATCTCTTTGAAGTATGAAAAGGCGCTGAATTAATCTGAGTTTGTCTCACTACAGATACCAGGTTTTCTGCAGAAATTGTGCCAAGGTATGTTTTAAACAAGATTTTTTTAGGTAATTGTATCTTGGAGAAAGCTTTCCCTTTCTCCACTGAAATCCTATTGCAGTTCCAGCTTTGGCAAAATCAACTTGAAGTAATTACAGCTGAAAGCAACAAATCTGTGCTATATACGCCCTCTCTGAAGCACTGTTCTGCCTAACTTCTTAGTTACAAACACTGTACATTTCTGTAGAGCAAAGAAGGATTCATTGGAGGGAAATAATTCCAAAGCAGGAAACTGAACAACTGACCTGTGGGAGGAAAAATCAGTAAATAATCAGTGAAAATTCCATCCCATCAGCACATTTGAGTGCATGAGAGAGATTTTAACAAGGTGGAAGGAAAATGTCTGTATGGAGCATAAGAGAAAGAGCATCCTCTTCCAGAAGAAGAAAATGAGTTTCAAATCAGTGGGATAGAAAACAAAATCAGCACAGGATCTAAAAAATTGAAATTTCAAAAGTAGAAATAAGAGGGGAAAAGATAGAGGAAAGTGGTTTATGTCATTTAAGAAAATAAGTAACTAAACAAAAGCAACTGCTGAGCACCTGAATCAGCAAACTATCCTGCCATATGCTCAAGTGCATTTTTTATTTAACAAAGCACTCCACAGTCAATTAAGCAATCACTGGGGTCTGCAGAAATCTTTCCATAACTGCTACAAGAATTAGTTTAGTCCCTTGGACGTCTTTTTCACTTCAGTAAGACATAGGTTTAGTATTCCCACTGTTTGTGGGATTACAGAAAACGAGGCTGAGAAGATGATTTAAAAGTTTATATCAAAAATTTTTGATGCAAATACACTGAAAAGCACAGTCTTCCTGATTACTTTTAAAAGTGCATTTGGAAAATGTACATATAATCAATTAGTGTATTTCTGTTTGCGCGCAGAATAGTCTCAGCTGTCTGTGCTGTCTTGCCTTAGCAAGAGAGGGATAACAACTTCTTAAGAGCTGGGGCTAATACTGGTTATTAGGAAAAATGACTTAGTCCTGCAACAATTGTGAAGCATGTGATGGATTTCTCTTGCCCTGACAAGCACATTTCAAACATCTTAAAATCATGACTTAGTTAAAATGCACAAAATTCTGTCAGATAATAACGAATTAACTGTCTCATTTAATGGACTGTAGATGACCATTAAAAGGTCATATCCTTTCTCCCCACTCTCCCAAGTGAAGTTTAACATGTATGCCACAGCCACTCTAAGCATGCAAGCAATGGTGACAAAGATGTTGAGGGCCTGGAGCATCTCCCATATGAGGAAAGGTTGAGGGACCTGGGTATGTTCCGTCTAGAAAAAAGAAGGCTGAGAGATGTTTGTTCAATGTTTATAAATATCTAAAATATGGGAGACAATTGGATAAGGCCAGCCTTTTTTCAGTGGTGTGTAATGATAGAACAAGGAGCAACTGTCAAAAAAATGGAAAATAGATGTTCCACACAAATATGAGGAAGAACTTCTTCACAGTGAGGGTGACAGAGCACTGGAACAGGTTGCCCAGTGAGGTTGTGAAGTCTCCTTCTCTGGAGTTATTGAAGATACGTCTGGATGCCTACCTGTACTACCTATTTTAGGGAACTGCTTTAAGAGGGGGCTGGCATCAACGATCTCCAGAGGTCCCTGTGATTCTATGATCCTTACCAGCTGTTCTCTACTCTCTAATTGCTGCCATTTTCATATACCTGGGAGAAGCTATACGTACTATGTATGAGATGTAGCTAAGTTCTCTAGAACTAGTCATATTTTTAAGTTTATTTGTTTGTTTATTTTTAATCCCCCTCTCTGTCCTTTTCACTGAGAGTTTTGGCTCATCTCTTCTAGGACAGAGTCCAGAGTTACACCTACCTACTCAGGGCACCATATTGCACCTAAGATGTAGCTGTAACAATTCAAACCATAGATAACTGACTTGATTGCAAAATTATTTTGTCCGTTCCAGGAAAGAACTGTGTCTAATTTTAAACTGTCTAATCTGAGAAACCAGATACTTAAGAAAGCAGCAAAACAAGCATTTCTTCATTCTCTAACTTAAGCCGTTCTATTATTATATCATTTTATGATTCATATATGCAATCTTTGTATTCACATGATAAGTGAAAAGAATTACATCTTAATAAACACATAAAACAGAGGAACAAGGACAGTATGGATTGCTCAAGGTGATCTACAATAGATTTTTCTGCTGTAAATATAGGGCACTGAAAACAGAAGCAAAAATGCCCAAATGATAGAGTCCATGCAAGTTCTTCTCGTATACTTGGTTGCATAAAAGGTACCTAGTGGCATAAAATGGGTAAGCACATGCATTTGGTTGTGTTCTCATCTCATTCTGTATTTTCAAAGCAAATTTAAAATTTGGAATGAGGGAATATACATTTGCATAGTGGAAACTTCAGACAAAGTATATGGAGTTGTCTGGATGTAGTCCCTGAATAAGTCATGGCTTGTTAAGGACCTGGCATGCAGAGTCACTGTGTGCTGGGTGACTGCTCAGAGTCTGCACTGGTTTTGTTCCCAACACTTGGGAAGAAAGTGCTGGAGAGCTAGCAGCAAGGCTCCTGACTTCTTGGCAGTTGGCAAGTACACCTGGTGGCTTACTCTGACTTATTTCTTAACCATTAGCACTTGTAATTATTTTTTATAGCTGTAGGCACACCTATGAAATAATTTAAAATACTTCATATCAAACCAAATTATTTTATGTGTGTAGTTTACTACGTCACAAGCAAGGCTGAGATTTTTTATTGAAGTAAGCAAGATATTCATAACAACTCTTTGTTGTATGAATTTTCTGAGGCTACTGTCCTCTTTAGTAGCTAAAATTTTTAGAAAAATAATATTCTTATGAATATATATATCTTTTCAGTTTGTTTTTAGAATCAGGAAAAGCTGATGTTACAGAATATTATTAACACAGCAGTTTTCATCTTCTCTAACTTCTTGGCCCCTGGAATAGCTTAGTACACAATATGTTGTGTTTTCATGTGTACTTGATGTACATTTTTAAGTCTTCTTAGTAAACAAATTATGGAAGGGAAAGCATTCAAGTGTTTTTGGGCTCATGCTTGAAAATGAAACAATTTCTTAAAATGTAATGTGAACAGTACATTTTTCATGTGAAACATTTTTGTAAAGTATGCAGATTACAAGATAGTAATCTCATAAAATACATTTTAAGACATTTTGAATTGCCGTGAGAAAACCAAGGATTGTATGAATGTGTTAATACTTTTAGATCTTTCTTTCTGGGAGGAATTGTTTTAGCTGTTCCTTAGTTTCAGTGAATTCATCTGGTTGTCACTTTAGAATTCCACTGGCTTACTGTCTCAGAAGGCAATAAGATGTTAGCTGCTTAATTAATCTAAATTTTAATTAGTACCCTTTATAGCCTTTCCTTTTTGAGCAGCCATATTTTTGTCATTAGTTATAAAATCTAGCACAATTGTGATTTATATAATGACAGCCTACAGCACTGGATTAATACACTGCTTTATATATAAACAGTTTCTTCAGTTAAGTGATTGAATTTCTATTTCAGCTGGATAAAACTAACCCAAAGAATAAAGTCTGTGGACTGTAAAGCTGCCAGTTTTTGTAACTAACACTTGGACTGAATCATACCTCTGTAAAATGTGTAGCAGTGGCACACTGTATAGTAAAGGTGGCTAGAAAGGAGACATTTAGAGGCTTTCACACAGAGAAAAAGAAATGTGATAAGATTATAATGGGATGGAAAATAATGGATTTCATGTGCTGAAGCATCCGGTGGTAAAGTATTGCTGGTTGTTAAGCAGTAACTTATCCGTAACACTATCAGAGCAAAAATTTACTTTTGAAGAAGGGCTTCAAAAATTGGGATAATATTCAATTTAATAGACTATTCCTCTGTTATAAGACAGTGTAGCACTCATTACAGAGAGGTAAAGAGAGGTAAAACTTTCTGCATTGTTCACACTATATAATTTAATGTGTCTTTTGGGGAATAAATGGTAACCCTGAGGATGCAAAAGGAAAGTGGATCCTTCTGCACTATTTTTGAAGCAAAAGGGTAGCGATGTCACATTTCAGCATTCTTTTCCTCCTCTGTGAAATTCATTTTATTGATCTGTTTGTTCATGATCTTAATGGCAGTTAAGGTTTTCCTGGTTTTAACGTGCCTACATGCTCACAGTGGCTGTGGCACTGTGTGGTCCTTCTTAGTCACACGTTGCCGAGGATCCAAGATCAAAAGTGAAGTTCATTCTGTTGTCCTTAAATAAACTTTTTGTGTCTGATGGCTTGGAATCAACATATGCTCTCGGTTGATATAAAAGTCAACAACACCAAATGCAGTGGGAGGTTAATTAGAAAAAGATCCATCCTTTTGCATCCTCAAAGCATTCCTGAACAAGGTCCTGAACAACTTGATCTGACGTTGCAGTTATCCCATATTTGAAGAAGTATTTTGATTAGCTGGTCTGTGGAAGGCCTTCCTCCCGTAAATGAGTCTATGACACTAAGGATATCTGGAGATAAAATTCTTCAGGAATGCTTGTTTCATGCTAGTTGTTCCCAGATAAGTCTTATCTAAGTCAGTGAGCACAAATGTTTTGTAATTAATGAGAACACTGTATTACTCAGGTAAAAAGTATCTGGATGTACAAGTCCTTTGAAGGCTTCGGAACAGTGTGTTGTAACAGTTACATTTTATGACTATCTGCTGCTTATCAAGCTGGCAAGGCTGCTGAACCCCCGTTCCAGCAAGCCCTGTCACAGGAGTTTGAATTTGGTCTTCTCAATGCTTCGGTACCTTGATGTCCCACAGCCATGAATCAGTGTTGATTCCTGGCCAAAACCCAGGACAAATCTCACATACTTC